TTGTGCTTGGACATTTGATTTCTTGAAGGGAAGAAACATTATATGCCCTTTTACACTGAAGCCTCTTAGATATGAACACCTTTCCCAGCCTGTTACTTATTAAAAGTCTGTATTTGTCACTAGTAGACTCTTACAGCTCTGTGATACGTTTTGTAAGCAATCTTTTTTTTCACTTCACAGATTAGTGATAAAAAGTGGCAGAGTGCCCATACAGAACTTTGGGACTGGGTGCCTCACTGTGTCCTGTCCAAATTTCAAATGATGGACTAGGAAACCAGAAGCACGGCGAAAATGAGACTTTTAATAACATTTTTAAGAGCGGGTGCCCATTTTACAGGATCACAATTGGGCAAGGAACATAGCCTATTTATTTAGATCCTCCTCCAGTTCCTCACTGGCTGAGTACTATTTGGTCACCTGTTTCCTAATAGGTTGTCTAGGTCTTGCTGGGAGCACTGGGTTATTTAAAAAAAATAAATAAAAAAATGAGCTGCGACCTTCTTTAGTTGCCTCTGCCCCTTTTGTCTAGGGGAATCTTCCTAGGACTCTTGCTATCAGCCACATTAATAACTCTCATCCTCTCTCCCTCACATCCTGTTTGCTCTGGGGAAATTCAGCACCAGCCTGGCCACATGCTGTTTCTTTTCTGTGAAGATAAATCAGATGTGTGTTTCTTAAACTGTGAGTTATATGGGGATAGTTTGTGCAGTATAATTGATTTTCTTAGACTTCATTCGCATTTGCCTAGAGCTTTATAGTGTTTTAAGGATATCAGGTCTCTTACAGGTTTGAACCTCGTTTTCTCCTACAATAGTGTTTCTAAAAAGGTAGTTTCTGGACCAGCCAGAGCAGCTTCAGTACCAGCTGGGAATTTGTTAGAATAGCATAACTGGGTTGAGGATTAAGGGGCTGCATTTGACAGAGATCTCCAAGTGATTTTTTACTCATCATCAAGTTTGAGAATCACTAATACTGTCTACAATCTACTGAGATTTTTCTATTTTTTTAAGGAAATATATATTTTATTGTTTTTTTTACAGAGAGGAAGGGGAGAGGGATAGAGAGCTAGAAACATCGATGAGAGAGAAACATCAACCAGCTGCCGCTTGCACACCCCCTACTGGGGATGTGTGCCTGCAACCAATGTACATGCCCCTGACCGGAATAGAACCTGCTACCTTTCAGTCCATAGACTGACACTCTATCCACTGAGCCAAACCGGTTTTGGCGAGATTATTCTTGTTAGAAGGACAAGTGTATAGCTGTCAATGAATATCTTAACATTTCTCTGCTAAATCATTCACTCACTTGTTGCTTCCTTACTCAGAAAATACTTAAGGTCTTGTTATGTACCCAAGGGTAAGGCAGCATTTCTTCCCCACCTTCACCTTGCAGCATCTAGTTCTTCCTTATTTCCTCCTTGATCCAAATATATTTTCAAAACCATTCGTCTCTTCCTCTACCTTCCCCCCTCTCCCTCTCCTTTCTCCGCTCTCTTCTCTCTTTCCTTTTCCTGTCTTTCATTTCCCTAATGCGTAAAACAGCACCAGATGCGTGGTTGCATAGAATGGACACACAGATCTCCAAGGTGAGGAAGGTAGAGGGGACTGGAAGAGATTAACCAGAGAACATGTATGCATAGCCATGGACATCTACACTAATAAAAGACTAAGATGCAAATTGACTGTAACTTCAACGCCCACCAGCCAATCAGGAGTGAGTATGCAAATTTACCCAACAAAGATAATGGATTAATTTGCATACTCAGGCGCCCAGCAGGGCAGGACAGAATGCTTGCAATATTGCCATGGCGATGACATAGGTATTCTGCACTGACCCAGCTGCTCTGGGCCTCTGTGCAGCATGGGAAGACAGAAGGGCAGCTCCAGGCAGGAGCAAAGGCAGTATTGGCAGTCAGGGGAAGGAAGGCATATTCTTGCACCAATCTTTGTGCATCTGGCCTCTAGTAGACAATAATGTTGTGAAGGCGTGGTCGGGGGTGGACAGTGGTGGTTCAGTGGAGATGGACAAAAGGGAGGGAAAATGGGGGACATCTGTAATCTATAATAATAAAAGCATAATATGCTAATTAGACCTGATGTTCTGGACAAAGCCAAGGCTACTAGGAAATCTGGTGTTGGCAGCCAGGGGAAGGAAGTCTACTCCTATACTAATTTTAGTATATTTGATAAAATATATCCAAACTATTATATGTCAAATTTTGTGCACCAGGCCTCTAGTAGTTTAATTATAAAAAATTGGAAAATTGAGATAAAAAATAAACAAACAAAAAACACCACACATACACTCACAAAAAAACACACAAAAAAACAAAAAAAAAAACACACTTCTTTTTACTCCTCCTTCAACACCACTGTCACATTGGTTTTCATGTTCTGTTTTTAGGCATAATGCAAATTCCACCTTTGATCTTCTTGCACTGGTATTGCAAGCTTGCTGGCTGGCTCCACTGAGTCATGTTCATTGCCCTTCTCTATCACTTTTTCTTGCCCTATAAGTGAAAGTTTCTTCTTTGCACATACTAGTAACTGGTACAACCATGTATGCTTGTCCATCTATCTCCTCTCACTGGAACTTAGATTTTGTTTGGGATGCCTATATTCCGGGCATATGGGGGTTTTAAGAAAATGAGTGGATGAATATATATTCCCCCTCTTTTTTCTTGCTTTATTCTCCTTTATGTACTTATGTACTATTGAAATATTGGAACTCAACCAAGAGTACACATATTTAGATGCATATCTGCTTTTTTCCCCTTATTAATTTTACATACGATGCTGAACTAGAATTTTTACTATGAATTTTCCATTCTTTTCAAGTGTGGCAATTCATTCATCTTGTCTTCTTTTTACATATGCTACATATTATGTCCCTGGCCCGTTTCCTAAGTCAGTTATCTGTATCTTTCTACTGTTTGTTGGGCTGTTTAGTTGGGCTAGTAACTCTCCTATCCACAATGTGACATTACCAAAGTGCTCTAATTTAGTGTTGATACATAAAGGTGTAATTTCAACCCACATATGTAGTTTTAGTTTTCTAGAGCTACATTAAAAAAATTTAAAAAGCAGGTAAGATAAACTTTAGTATATTTGATAAAATATATCCAAACTATGTCAAGAATTAATGACATTATTAATTAATAATGAAAATGTTTTAATTCATTTCTGCTAGCCACGTTCTATATGCTCAGTAATGACCACTGTAATGACCACACTCTAATCTTTGAAACGTCAGCCACAGTTCTACCCTTAGACTCTTAGGTTTATTTACAGTTACGTCCCTTTTTGGCCTCAGTGCAAACCCCCCACATTTCTCTTTCTTTGGGAAATTGTATACATTTTCATTCCAATATTGTATTCATGATTCCCAAAGCCACATGTGTCAGTAACAGCTGCAGGATTGTATTTACTGCACTGAATTAGATTTTCAACCTCATGTTATTACAGATACTCTGAAATGATGTAAAAATAGATAACTGAAGAACTGTATGCATAAATAGGTCAAGTCCCAGGGCTTTGTTGCCGTGTACAATGTTCTTTCAGAAAATTTTAACCAATATATAGGATACTGTAATCTACATAGTGTTTAGTGCAACTAACAGAAATCACTTGTTCAACCAAAAGGGATCTAATACAGCGAATTAAGTGTGTACAAAATTGGTGGAACATTTAGAAAAACTAAAATCAAGGGGTCACCCAGCACATTTGGCTTCGTTTAAAAGCCAAGTCCCATGACTATTTTACAGATACTGTGCTAGCATTCCTACTGATGCCCCTGAGGCTGATGACCAGACTGAAATTGGGGGTCAGTTGCTGTGGACACTTTTGTTGGTATAAGCGTCCTCATGGGTAGAATCTAAGTTGTATCAAGAACCTTAGATGCAAGGACATCTGAATGCTAGAAGACCCCTCAGGCTTTGTATTCAACTGTCACCCATTAATATGGCCTTAATGTATGTTAAATACTTCCATATTACATGGCATAACCCTTCCCTAGGATCTTTCTCCAGTATAATTACACGTGCTGGGCCTCCACAACTCCCTCTTCTACATGGTGCTATAAATATAGTAATAGATAGTCCAGATACTTTAAGACAGTCAAAGGCAAATATGGTGACTGTCTAATATAATGGACTAGAGGCCTGGGGCACGAAATTCGTGCACTCGGTGGTGGTGGGGTTCCCTAAGCCCGGCCTGTGCCTGCTTGTAGTCCAAAAGCTCTTGAGTGATGTCCAACTGCAGGCTTAGGAAGTGGGCCTAAGCCTGCAATCTGACATTGTTAGCACTGGCTTGGAGTTTGGAGAGGCTCCCACCACCGTCACTGCGTTTGTAAACCATGAGCCCGACTTCTGGGAGCACACTGATCACCAAGGGGCAGCTCCTGCATTGCCCCTGGTGGTCAGTGCACAGCATAGTGACCAGTTGTTCTGGCAGTCAGTTGATTTGCATATTATCCTATTATTATATAGGATTGCTATGAAAAGGAAGTTGGGTAGTAGGATTTCTAGTTAATTATTAAGATATGGTTATACAGTAATGACACTTTTTCTTACATGGCAGGTACTAGTCCCTGAAGGCAATTCCAAAAAGGACTTTATTATATTTCTAGAGTAAATATTTAGACCTTCAAGGTTAACTTATTGTGAATTGGTAATACTTGAGATGCCTTTCTTCTCTTCCACTCCCAGCCCTAAAAGATATTTATGTACTTAAAGAAGAATCCTTCAGTATATTATTATAATTAAAATTTTCTGCTTGAATTTTTTTTAACTATTAAAATTGTTTAATTTGTTAGGCATTCACTCTTGTAAAAGGTTCAAATTAGATGAGGTGTGATTTTTTTCTCTCCCCATTCAAAAGAGATATTTGCCTTTAAATTCTTCTCTATCAATCACAAGCAATTGTGTAGGGTTAACTGTGGTAAAGTGCTGCTTCCTGATGTCATGTGTTTAAGTGTTTGTCCTCTTTTCTCACCCGTAGGGCTCCTTGGTAATGGCCAGTCTAAGGGATTAGGACCAGCATCAGAACAGTCAGAGAATGAGAAGGATGATGCATCCCAAGTGTCCTCTACTAGCAACGATGTTAGTTCTTCAGATTTTGAAGAAGGGCCGTCGAGGAAAAGGTTAGTACCCAAGGCTGAAAGTATCGGTGCTTTAAACCAGGGACTGCAAAGGAGCCGTCAGTTTTTGCCACGTGGAAACAAACTTGGGCCCATTCACGCAGTCTCCTGATTTTTCATAGAGGAGTCAAAGTTCTGAGTTTTTATATTAAATGTCCTGGTATCAAAATATAGTCCATTAATTATAACTGAAAATAAATATGCACAAAAAATGGTATGGGCCAAATAAAACATGTTATTGCCATAAAAAATGGCCAGAGTCACCAATGTGTAATTTTTATATTTATTTTTATTGATTTTAGAGAGAAAGGGAGAGGGAGAGAGAGATAGAAACATCAACGATGAGAGAGAATCATTGATTAGCTGCCTTCTGCACACCCTGTACTGGGGATCAAGCTCACAACCCTGGCACGAGCCTTGACTAAGAATCAAGCCTGACCTCCTGGTTCATAGGTTAATGCTCAACCACTGAGCCTTGCCTGCCGAACCTGCCTTATGTTTATTTTAATAGATTTTTTATTAGTAGTATTTCTTGAGTATAATAGATGGTGTTTTGTAATTCCTAAAAAGAAATGTTTCTAAGAATTTAAAGAATTAATCGTGTTTCTGAAAACCCCCCCCCCCCCCCCCCAAAAAAAAAAAAATCAGGAAAGCAAAATCCATATGGTGTTTAATCAGGTTAGTAGTTGTGGAATAGGCTCTTAAAACTTGGAGTTTACCAGCAGGTTCTTTTTTTTTTTTTTTTTTTTTTAATGACTTTTAAAAATAAGCATAAGATGGTTGGATAAGGAAGTTGGCTGTGGTAGCTAAGAGTCTATGGTTTCATGGTCAAACAATGGCGGTGACATTATATAATGATGCTTTCAAATGGGTGTTTTAGAAAATCTTTTGCTCATTATCTGTTTTATTTCATATCTTATGTTTTCCCCTCCACAATTTACCATTTAGAATTTATATTTCATTTTGTTTCTTTTCCATTCTCATACTTAACGTTTTCTTGATGACTAGATTAATGACATTTTCTTAGAGTCTGTTGGTTTGAGAGGTTGGGGAAAGGAGAAAAATTTCCCCTGGTCTGGTCTTCTCTGTTTACTCTTTCTACAGAATTATAGTTATACTTTGGAAACTATCTAGATGTTTATATCTATTGAAGAACTGAGTATGGTGGAAAATCAAAACGATTTTAGGCATGAGTAGATATTTGAAATACTTAACAGAACTATACTTTGGATCTGAAATTTGAGGTGCATCCCACCAAGTGTTAGTTTATTTTTCGCCAACATGGAGTGTCTTTGTTTAAAAAGTTCCATGATACAGCGTCTGTATTAAGTTCCATCCTCAGTTTTCTTGTAATCATCAGCACCTTGTCTTGGATGTCACTGGATTTGTTATTCAGTTAGCAAGCATGAATAAGAAGTATCTCTGCCAGTGTACTGGAATTCGTATGCTACCCTTTTTAAGGACACTTTGGTGAGTGTCCAACATATTGCTTTGCCTCAATTTGAGAACTACATCATCATTAGAGGAGGGGGAGCTCAGGATGCGCTAAACCAAACCAGTTAATATATTAGAATATGTAATGTTATCCAAGCTTCCAAACATGGTGGATGCTCATACATCTGACATCATCTTTCATCTCCGTTTGTGGAGCAAATTCTATGACTGTGTGGTTGGAAGTGATTGCACCCAGTCCTTTAGCTGTGTTGTGTAACTGTCCATCACCCTCACCTCTGGTAAGACCCGGGCAGCATGGGAACTTGATGGTGAAGATCAGCAGGCCTCATTCTCTTGGAGGGGTCCTTCGTCCCTGGCTCCTTTCTCAGATGACAGTGCTGCTGGCTTCCTCTTTGCATGGTACACTGGTGTGGTGTGGCAGCTGTATGCAAAGAATTTAGCTTTTAATCTCGAGGCTAGTGAAAAAGAGACCCTTCATTCAGGGTGAATTTAAGGCAAATTTCATTATTGCTAATCTACTCTAATTATTAATGTACCAAACATCTGAAATCTACCAGAGACTTACTGAAGATGGTTAACATGTCAGGCTAGGTTTAGGGCTGGTCTGTGGTAGCCTGTATTACCGGTGAAGGGCTGTAAAATTGATCAACAGGTGGGGAAGTTAGGGACATCTATTTCACAATGTTGCCAGGTATGTGATAACTACAAAATAATAACTTTTAATACTTTTCTGCTCACTTTTTTTTTTTTAACCCCACCGGTAGTTAATATAAATATTTAGTATAAATAATTTGGTAGGAACCCTGTCTTCTAAGGCAGAATGTGTGAACTGGAACCTGAATTCTTGGGGTTTTGTTAGTATACTGCAGCAATTTTCTTCCTTTTTCCCCCCATGGCACACATAAACTAATTTGTAAAATTCTGCGACACACTAAAAAATATACTTTTTGCCAATATGACAAAAAAAAGGTATAATTTTGATTCATTCACAGTTATATGGCTATTGTGTTGGTTATTGTCATTATTTTATTTGACAATCTAAGGGAAAAGCAGTCAGTGCCCCTGCCTAAATAGTCAGGTATTGTATGGTTTAAAGATTCTTGTAGCACATTGGTTGAAATATTCATACTGCAGGGCTCCCCTTCATTTTACATAGATTGTATTTTTTCTTATACTTGACCGAGTGTGTCATCTCTGCCTCTAAGGAGTCAAGTTCAGAGTAACTTTTTAAAGTGGTTATTTCAAAATGTTACTTTTAAGTTTAGGGTGGATTGTGGTCTAGATGCTACTTTTAACATTGTGTCTAAAATTCCCTAACCCTCACAAATACATTTGGAAGAGCAGGTTTTATAGTTGACTTTGCATTTTCTGTTGTCATTTATACATCATACATTGAATTGTAAAAATCTAGGTCATGATTTATATATTTGCTTTGGAAAAAGCAAGCAGTCTGTACATTTGTGGAATGATATAAACTGCTAGCTCTTTTTATTCAGTTAATTACTCTTTATAGATACTTGGTTTTAGGAATAGCAGTTAATAGACATTTTGTTTTGGTTGGGAGAGGGAAAGAAAGGAATTTTTATGTGCGGCTTCCTTAAGAAAAGTTAGTCTATGGTGTAGTTTATGTCCTGATTTTCCAACCTATAAATGGAAACAATTCCATTTTCTGATGATGCTTTTTAAGTCTTCAGTTAGAAAATGTGTGTGCAAAGTGTTATTTTTCTACAGGAAACCCACTATGCTATGTTTTGCTTTTAGTTAAATGAAATTGGGAAGCTTTGTAGCACATAGGAAGCAGTAGAACCCAGAGATTATAGTAATTATTTTTCTTGACAGAATTAAAAATAAAAGGTATCATTTTGCCTAGCCGTTAAAACGTCATCCTCTAAAGTCTCTCTCTCTCTCTCTGGCTCGCTCTCTCGCGCGCTCGCTCTCTGATGATATTTCCTCCATTGAATTTTAGACAGTGGAAAGAAGAGGGAGAAATAGAGAAATATCGATTTGAGAGAGATACATTGATTGGTTGCTTGCCTGACGCGGGCTGGGGATTGAACCTGCAATCAATGTACATGCCCTTGACCAGAATTGAACCTGAGTCCCCACGCTGACATTCCATTCATTGAGACAAACTGGCTAGGGCTAAAGTCACTCTTTATAAAAGGAAAAGCCACCCTCTCTCTAGAAGTTCTTTGATGGACATGGCTGCCCAGCCATTGAAGAGCTGAAAGTCTTAGTGTGGTGGGAATTCCTGGTGTTGGCTTTCCTTTCCCCGTCCCACCCCCCCTTTTAAAAAATCTTTGTGGTGGGTGTTTAAAATAATTTTTAAACTTATAATGTAGTTTTTAATGTTTAGAATGGGAACTATAGACTTTCAGCCTTTCATAGGCCTTTTCTGAATTTGACGGTGATTATACCTACCTAGCTCCTTATCCTTCTCCCCACCTTATATTGCCTATATTAATACACTGTTGTAAAATTTGTATTTCCTGCAAGAATTATATGAGTATTTTCAGGAAACAGAGTGGATAGATTTTGTCTGTCAGGTGTGGATTGACTGATGGACTCTGGAATGGTTGTTGTGGAGATAGAGGTTATCTGTTTATAATGATTGAAATTTCTTTTAAGAGCCAACTTCTGCTCACGGGCCACAAAGTTTCAATTGCACTGTATGTGGTATTTTGTGGAAGAGCCACACTCAAGGGGCAAAAGAGCCGCATGTGGCTCACGAGCCACAGTTTGCTGACTACTGGTCTATGACAATAATAATTACTGCATGGTAGTTATGTGCTGAAGAAGTTAATTCATGAAGAGCCCTCAAGTGTATAATATAATAAGTACTATGTACTAGATATTATTAGCTTTCATCAGTGTATGTGACACATGAATTGCTACATGTGAATATGCACATTCATTGGAGACTTGGCAAACGTGATTTATAGGGATTTTGATTTTATAAATTGTGATTTCTGTCTTCCCTCCATGGTACCACCGTCAGCAGACATCTGTGGGCAGATGGAAAAGTGTATCCCTCTTTTGAAGTAATTGAGTCACAGGAAGGATCTTTGTTGTTGTATAATGTGAAATTTCCTTCTCAAAGCTTGGTGTGACCAGGTATTTGCTTGCACAGAGCAGGCAGAAGTGAGATGAGGTTGGGAGAGTAAAAAGTGCAGACTATGCCTCTGCAAGGACGTAACTTTTCTTCTTGTTAAATAACAGAAGACCTGATATATTTTAGTTAGGCCTTTTATAGTATACTAGAGGCCCAGTGCATGAAAATTCATGCATTGGAACAGGGTTCCCTCAGGCTGGCATGCCCGCCTCATAGTCCTAAAGCCCTCAGGGACAGGAGGCAACCCCGAGATCAGGGTAAGGCGATGCCCCATCATATCCCTGCTGCTGCCACTGCCAGCAGTGCATGCCTTGGCTGGCCCTGGTTGCCTGAGCCTTGGGCGGCCCTAGTGGCTGGACAGTCGCCATGTGAGGCTTGCCTGTATCTGGTGCCAGCCCTGGGTGGCTGGGGGGCTGAGGGGGACTGGGCGCCACCA